GGGGTGAGGGTGCAGTGTGTGGTGGAGGTGCAGTGTGTGTTTGTGTGTGCCGTGTCTAGCTGTGCATGTCAAAGATACAGCCAGAGGCTCCAGTCTCTATACCCGGGTTTCTGTAGCGTTTACGGGGCTGCTGTTCCAAAGGCCCCTCCTCCTGCTCCTCCGGGTCCAGCCGGGAGCAGCGGGCTCTGCCCGGCTCCCGCCGCAGCCTGGGGCTCCTGGCCGAGTCCGCGCCGCCGCGAGACTTGCGCTTCAAGATGCTGTCAATGGCGAACGCCAGGCAGGCGGGGGGCGGCTCCGCGCCCGGGCTCACCCTCCGGCGGCTCTCGCAGTCCAGCGGCAGCCCCGCCATGAGGGACGGAGCGGGACGCGCGGCTGCCCGGCTCCTGCCTGTCTCTGCGCCTCCGACTCCCCGCCGGCTGCACCATCCCGCGGGCCTGGCCGGAGCCGCGGCGGCGCTGAACCGCCGGGCGGGCGGCTGCCGGGAGGAGCTGTTCGGATTGGCTGCGGAGGGACGGAGGGAGGGGCCGGCAACGGGAGAGGAGAGGGAGGGGGGAGAAATGTGGGGAGAGAAACGGGAGAAAGGAGGAGAGACAGGGAGAAAGAAAGGAGGCGAGAGCAGAGAGAGGAATGGCTAGAGGGAGAGAGAAAGGGAGGGATAGGAGACTGGGGGAGATGGAAAGGGGGATGAGGGAAGGGGAGGTGGAGGTGGAGAAAAAAGAAGGGAGTCAGGAGCGAGACAGTGGGAAAGGGGAGGATCAACGGGAAACAAGGGTGGGGAGCGGGGGGGGGGGATCTGAGGGAGGGACCAGGAGGGGAAAAGGGAGGGAGACCGAGAAGGATCCTGAAGGAGTAATGAGGAAGATGAGAGATTGGGAGGGAGGCGAAGAGGGCCCGTGCAATGGGTGTGAGGGTAGAGACCTTCAACGGGCTCTTCTGGGACATTTTTACTTACTGCTGTGACCAGCCATTTCTGGCAACCAGGGATTAGCAAGATGCAGGGATGAGTGAAATCTACCAGAGACAGGGAAATATCCCGACCTTCCCTTTGAAGTGGGTGGTGAAATTGTAAGCTTATCATTATAACTTATCATTAGAAAGTTTTTCCTAATATCTAACCCAGTAATTCTCAAAGTTTGTATTGGTGACCCCTTTCACACAGCCAGCCTCTGAGTGTGACCTCCCCCTCCCTTATAAATTAAAAACACCTTTTTACATTTAGCACTATTATAAATGCTGGAAGTGAAGGGGAGTTTTGGGGTGGAGGCTGACAGCTGGTGACCCCCCCCCCCCATGTAATAATCTCGCAACCCCCTGAGGGGTCACAATCCACAGTTTGAGAACCCTGATCTAACCTAAATCGGTTTTGCTGCACATGAAGCCCTACTTTCAATGAACGTGGAGAACATCTTGGACTAGGACCTGTCTTTAATTCCTTATATCCAGGCTACATGTAAACCTCTCGGATTTTTTCTGCATAACATCTGTAAAACAGCACCGTTCCTATCCATCCACATAGCTAAAACACCTGTCCAGGCTCTCACCATTACAGATCTCATCCTTCTCTTTGGCCTTGCCCCACTGTATGGCAGGTGGGCAATGTGACTTTCCTTGCCCCATTCATATCCATTCAGAATGCTGCACAAAGATGTTTTCCTGGCCAATCTCTTTGATCATGTCATCCCTCTCTTTGAATCCCTCCACTACTAGCACCCCCTTCTCTATCACATCAGACTTCCGCTACTTGTATTCACTTTCAAGGCCCCTATGTCTGTCCTACCATCTCGCATTTACTACTGAGTTATCAGCTCCTACATCCAACCTATGTTGCCACTTTGTCCATTTGTTACAATTTCAAACAATTATCTTCATATTTGCTCCCATGCTGCTGGTAACGCTTGGGAGCAAATATGTAAGCAAGGAGCTCCCTGTAAACAATCCACAAAATTAAGGTTATCCTCCTTACACACACACACACACACACACACACACACACACACACACACACACA